CTGCAGTGTGGTCAGATATGCTGAGTGAAGTGTTTCCCAGCCTGATCTGCTCATCACAGTGATTCCTCACCAGGGAGAGTTGTCCTCTGCTGTGCCCGTGTTACCAAACACATGCTCTTTAACAGGGCTCTGTGGCAGGGTCTGTCCAAACAATCTCAGCATATGCAAAAAACTAAAAAGAAGAAAATTTTAAGAAAAAAAAAGTTTTCAGAACTGCATTAAGAATTGATTGTATGTGCAGTTAATTTGGCAGAGCCAACAAGGAAATAATTTTAGTTAGGTGGAGGGAGGAGAAGGCAACCTGATGCCAAGCGTGTACGGACAGAGTGGGGTTTTGTAGTTTCTTGGCCTGGCTTTACTTCAGACAGCAGAGTATGCCCGAGAGTGYCCTAAGCTACTGCGGGTCAGGTTGCAAACTTGGAATCCAGGACGTGCACCACTGCTGTGGTGAGTTAGCAGGGCTCTGTGGCAGTGTCCAGGGACTGCTGCGGTCCTGGGACATGTACGTAGTGGGGCACAGAGGGTGGGAGTCAGAGGAAGGTGCTTAAACACCATAAGTGCTTTCTTGGGTGGGATTTGACTGCAGATCCACTCTCCAAAATTCARGTATCTGCTTCTGGGGCTTTAGGTAGTGTAAATGGCTAAATTTAGGTGAAATGTAAATGCAGATGTTTCTAAATTCTGGTTTCTGAGCCTCCCATGCTTATAACTGCCCTCGGTGCATTAGGGATCTGCCTGGACTCTGGCTGCGAGGCCAGAACCGTGTGGTTCCCTCTGCACTGGGCCTGTGTCGTAGCTGCCAACACCAGGCAGGTGACTTGACATCAYGGATCATACTGGGCACTCACGCAGACAAGCCAGTGTCTCGTATGGTACTTCTTATATTTTTAAAAGATTCTGAATCTATGCTGATACTATATTAGGTAATTATAAAACAGCAGAAATTCTTTTTGAACGATGAAGAAAATAGAAATATTAGCATATTAGAAAGAAGATGGAGGTGTGATTGATAAGTTATTTCATGAGGAATTAAGGGACTGAAGAGCTTTTAAACCCATAGTAAGTGACGGGAAGTGTGAACCAGAAATATTCAAAGTGGAAAAACAGACTAAGAAGTGAGGATATATTCCTGTGCAAAGCGCCAGGGGACTGGAAGGGTTCTTAACATGGTCACATCAAGACCAGTGCCTTTTACGAAGGAATTCTTTAGTCAAACATGAAATACCAAGTTCAGCAGATAACTGATACTGAATCACTGTGATCTGTAGGGTGGAAGAGTAAATATTCTGATGAAATTTACAAATTTATGAAATTTAATTGTGGCCTTGTTTAAGGACTGAATATGGCATATGATTTGTCATATGTAATAATATATGACTTATGCAAGAAAAAAGAAAGGCCTACAGCTGGTGGTTTGTAATTGTGATCTTCCAGATTTTTATGATGGTTTTATTATCGTATCTTTACTTCCTGTGCAATGCTTTTCCATTGTATGGTTATGGTACAGAAACACCTTGTTCTCCCTATACCAAGACCTATTTGTGATAAAAGCTCCAGGATATCACACTCAGCACCTGTAAGTATTACAGAGATGCAGGTCATCAGAAGATGGAGGGAAGGCCCGTGTTTCACAAGCGGATGTGCTGATGGGAGCATTCGCTTCCCCAGAAGCTCATGGGGAGCTCTGCTTGGCCCTGCTTGGTGGGCACTGCAGCAGCTCAGTGAGACAGGAGCTGTTTTTCCTCGCGGGAGAGAAACCACAGTCAGTTGAGAGACTGACTGAAGTGTGAGGGAAACTTCCTGGGACTCTGGCAAGCAAAAGGGTCACCCCAAAACACAGCACATAAGATTGCATCCCCTAGACAGAGTATGGATAGAGYTAGTCATCTACAGCTAGTCTGTGAGTGGGAGATTCAGCTTGCTTTAGAGGAGCTGAAGCGAATGTGGATATGGATGTGRGATGATACTGTTGCTCTGTTGAAAATTTGATTTTGCTTTGTGTCTTAGTCTCTTCTCTTCAGTATTGGTAGCTTATATATCTGTCTTCTTTCCTAATAGTTAAGATCCATCTCCTGTGTTTTCTACACARTCATCACAAAAGACCTTTAAATGTCAACATAAGGAATAAAATTAAAGATACTACTTTATAGGCAATGTTACTTCATACAGTGAAGGTTTCTATTGTGCTTAGCTTTTCGATGCAAATGTGACCTGTAGGCTGGTTCTGGAAGCCAAGGCCTTAAGTATCCAGCCCCAAGCTTTTCTTGCTGCTCAGTCTCAATCTGTAGCTTGCTACTTGAGTGCAGAGGAGGTTAATCAGATTGCTCGTTATCAGCAGCCTGCTGATTGCCTCTGCCCGTCCTGCTTGCATGCACCGAATCTACTAGAAGTTCAGGCAGCCTTAAACTGCAGAGGTTAGTTGTCTGTTGTGAAACTGGGGAATTGGGACCTTTGACTTACCTCACACAATAACTGCATGATTACAGTCTGCAAAATAGTTGTGTCTGGCTTTCAGACGGCTTCATTAAGAGTTAATTTATATGCAGGTTTGGTTTTCCAAAAAAACAACACACATGACTGATCCACCCTATCATAAATTTTTGTAATGATAAGGTGGTGCAGGCTCATCTAAAATTCCTTCCAAAGGCGGTGTCAGATTTTTCCTTTAGTCATCCGAACCCTCTTTTCCTTCCCTGTATTTTCATTGTAGCGAGACATTGTTTACAAGAGCTGGGTCCTTATACTCCCACCATCACCTGCACTTTGCAACATGTTGTAGATTACCATCGCTAACACCTCAATTTGGATTTTGTTTTTTAAGACTTCCCTGGTAATTCTTTTCCTAGAAGCAGCTTTTCCGAATGCTTTGCTTGAGGCGTGCAGCTGCTGAGGAGGCAGAAGTGCTTCCCAGTCTGCTTTAGTGCCTGCTTGGGAAGCGGACAGTTCAGCTGGCCGCCCATCAGAGGTGGCCGAGGGAGAAGTGGAAGGGAGGACGTGTGTAAAACAGAGGTGGGAATGAGCTGTCAGAAGGAAGGAGCTGACTTCRATCTGTTTGCCATTAAGGATGGAGAAGATCCGAAGGTAGCGGGGAGCTTTTATTCCCTTTCTTTTCATCCCTGCTCCATGATGAAAATGAAATCCGGCCGTGGGGTGTGAGGTGGGTGCCCGGCTGCCCCACGTGCGCTCCTGCTGCCCCCTCGCCTCCCCGGCACGAAACCTGGGCAGAGCGCTTGCCGTCTGCCCCATGCATCTAGGGAGCCACACGGTACGATCCCGTCAATAGCTTCACCCCACGGGGAAGTCAGATGGCTTCCCTCAGAGCTCCTAGGCCAGCCCACCCCTGCAGCCATTCTCCTCAGCCCATCACCCGTCATTAGGAGGCCTCCCAGGGCGCTGGCAAGGCCTGTGCGCTGTGAAGGCCCTGGCGCTGGAGCACCTGCCAGTGAGGGCCCTAGTGCTGGAGAACCTGCCACTGGAGGCTTTGGTGCTGGAGAACCTGCCACCGAAGGTGCTGGTGCAGGAGAACCTGCTGCCAGGGCTTAGGATCCGCTGTGGTCAGCTGCAATCAGGGACGAGTCAGAGAAAACTGCAGAAAAGGCGAATGTGAAAGGTTCCCCCAGCACCGGGGTGGCTGCTGCAGGCCCTGCAGGAGCCACGGCCTGGCCTGAGATGTAGCAGTGAAAGCCCTTGAACAGGCAGGCCGCTCTGCCCATGTCCGTGCTTAGCTGCTTAGCTTTTCCAGCTGGATCCAGAGATGACAACTGGGAAGCTTTTCAGTTTTAAGCTATGTGTTATCAGGCCCAAAGAGCTCCTTAGCTCTGAGCTCCTTGGTTTTTGTTTTTTTTTTTTTTTCATTTGGAGATTGAGCAAACACCAAATGAACCTGGAATCTACATATGCATGATGAGGAATAAGGTGGCCCCTATCTAGTCCATAAAAAAAAAAGAGGCATTTTATTTAAAAATGGTGTTATTTCTAAGAAAAATGGGTAATCGTAATATAGGAATTTAATGTTGAGCTAGAATTTCTCCTGTCTAGTTTTTAGACATGGTGGCTTCCCTTGTGTATGGGCTTTTCTGTGGGCATTTTTGTTTTTCCTGGCTTGTTTAATTTATGAGCTAACAGCAGGAGCCTGATTTCAATTGGCCAGTTTAAAAAAAAAAAGTATTCTGTAAATGTCTAGGAGTTCATGTGCATATATGTCTGTGTGCTTTTCATAATATATCTAAGTTGGATGGGAAAGATATAAAGTAGCCTGCAAGAAATGTGAGGTTTAGGTCAGCAAGTTGGGCCAGGATCCACTTTCCTAAACACCAAGATTTTCTTCACTATCATTTTTACTTTTCTTAAAGTCGATTCAGGTATAGGCTAGCTGTTCGTCTCTTGTGCTTTAGTGAACCTGGTAAAATTAACCTCTTGTAACACTTATCTTGCAGTTTTTGATTGTTTTTTTTTTCTTAATTATAACATTTCACAACTACTGTCTTTCGCGAAGAGAAAACTTATTTTCCCTGGTATCACACTTCCTGTTTATATAGGACAGAGTGATTCTTAGTAGAAAGCTATAAGTGTCTTTAAAGCATCAGTTTAACTCTTAACCTAGAGTGAAAAAACACCCTGCTGATTCATTAGATGGCTTGGGACCATTAAAGATTACTTGGGTATCTCCTGAATCAGCACTCTAATATTTTGCTACAGCCATCACAAAAAACAGCCCACAAAGTAAGATGCTCATGGTAAGTCAACTAGTTTTGTAAGGGGATCTCTCAACAAATAATGCAGAAGAAAGCCATAAACTGCACAAATAGTCAAATTAGGTAAATTCTTCAAACTGTGTAAAATAGATGCAGTTCAAGTGTTATACAATGAATGGACTTTTAAAATTTGGTAGTTATGTCTAAATGTCTAAATGTTTCAATAGTGTTAAATTATTTTGTACTCATTCTAAATTAAATTCTTCTGGCAAAGAATTTTTTTTGTTTGTTTCTATTGTGTTGCAGACTCTCCTACAGATTTTTGGTGTGGTAGCTGTGGCTGTGGCAGTGATTCCTTGGATACTAATCCCCTTAATTCCACTATTTATTCTTTTCATTTTTCTTCGACGATATTTCTTAGACACTTCAAGAGATATTAAGCGCCTGGAATCCACAAGTATGTAGTTTGGTGTGACTGCTTGTTAGCTTGAACCCTGCTTATGATTGTGTGAAATGCCAGCGTTTTATAGACAATTCATTGATTAGTTTTCCTTTGGTTTTGCAAATAAATTCCTTTTTGCCTTGAGTCTAGTGAAAAACATGTTTAACTCTCACTTCTACSTAATGATAGAGCTTGGCTATGTCAGTTCAACTGTGCATAAGTCAAATTATTTAAGAGCTTGTTTAAGTTGCTGGCTTTTGGGTCCTTACGTGCACACAGTAATGGTGTGTCTGACCTAATCTGACTTCTGTGCTTGGTTTTGTGCTTGTTTATGATATAAAATATTAAGTGTCATGAATGACAAACATAGGTGCCTCATGTGCCTTAATACAGCTCAAAGTACCTCTTGGGTGACAACTATTGTTAAAAAATCTAAGACATTTGGTATAAATTAATCTGCCTGGTTGTCTGAATGATTCTAAATGAGTAAAAGGAATTTGGTTAAAGATATCACAGATKTATTCTAAGAGGATGCACTACAGTAACTTTCATGGTTAAATATAAAGTGGTAGGATTAAAGATTAGCATAGCACAAAAAGAATTAAATGTTGCCCTTGAGCTATTGCTGAGTTACTCTCATTTCTCTTTGTAGCTCGAAGTCCAGTGTTCTCCCACTTGTCGTCATCCCTCCAGGGCCTTTGGACTATTCGGGCTTTGAAAGCAGAGGAAAGATTTCAGAAATTATTTGATGCACACCAAGACCTCCACTCAGGTTGGTGATGAATTGACATGAAAAATCAAATACTGGGCTCTGTAGGAGGGAAATATCTTACGCCCTCAGCAACGTGTATATAATGTACATTAAAATCAGTAGGAGCTGTGCGTTCATCTCTTCAGGGCAAAATTTCTCTGTTAGAACAACAAAGTTATTATCTGTCTAGATTTTGAGAGTTTACTTTGGGCTGTAATATAATTTCAGATACCCGTGCATATGTTTTAACAATGTCTTAGATAACTATTTCCAAGTATGCCTGATAAGAATATTTCTAAAATCATTTTTGACATTTTCCTGGATTTTGTCTTTAAAAAAAGCTATAAGCAAGCTAAGCAGTATTATGAAGCATTTAATATTAAGTAGTTTGCTAGAATTAGGCAAGGATATTTAATATAAGTCATCATTCTGGAAAAGTTTTGTAAATCTCTTATCTTTTTTACTTGRAGCAACTTTCAAAGCTCAAATGAATATACAGTATTTGTATGACCAGGAGGAGTAAAATATTAGTATTCTGCAAGCAAAACTAATCTAGTTTAGGTTTGTACTGTGATTCCTTACCTCTATCAATTAAATTTCTAACTGAGAATGTTACCAGCTCTCTATTACAATCTTCTTCAAGGTGCAGCAGAAGCCCAAGACCGATGAACAAGAATGCAAACTTGTGGTTTTGTCTTTTTTAGATTGAAGTTATTGRGCTTTCCTCTGTCATGCAGATATATCCTATGGCTTATTTTAAATTGATACACTCTGAAAATTTAAGGCCAGAACAGATCTACTGATCTTGTCTGAAGGGTTGATCATGGCAGGTTATAGAATTCTGCACACTTGTGTCTGTGATGAGCATAGTGACTTGGTGGTGGGTAAAACATCTCTTGCAGAGAGGCGCATTGGGCTTTCCTTGGTATGTCGAAGATATTGCATGTCCATCAAATCAAGTTGAGATTAGCTGCTGATGAAGGAAAACAAAGTTACCTCCCAAGCTTTTTGTAAAAAATGTAAAAAAACTTCCTGAGTTTYCTTCCAATGTGAATGATCCTAAACGTGCTTAAGCTGTAGCTGAAAGGAGAGGATACCTTCCATGCTTGCCCAGAAGGTTGGTGTCCTATGTTCTTATACCCCTTCTCAGCTGAAGCAGTTCAGACTCTTTCCCACCTCCCAGCAGGCTCTCCCAGGCAGTTTTTATTCAGGCTTTTGCCTAGAGCACTTTCCTCCTCTCGGTATGAGGCTGAGCCTGGGAAACAAGACCCTCCCTTGTGAGCCCGGTTTCAAGGGCTGGCTATCAACTTGGTATTAAATAGTCTTTAGATAAGGAAACAAAACAAAACACCTAAAAGGCACATTGAAATTACACTGAAGGCTGCAGAATGACCCATCTCAAGCTTGTGGGCTTTAGTGCACCTTCCTGGATAACAGCACTGAAAGAGTAAAACCTTGGAGCTGGAATCATAGAATCACAGAATGCTTAAGCCTGGAAGGGACCTCAGAGGTCATCTAGTCCAACCTCCCTGCACACGCAGGGTCACCCAG